GCTACATTCGTCAGAGACCACCTGGTGCCCTATTTGCAACATTTCACATATCATACATATCTTAAGGACTCTAGACTTGCCTCTTGCTTTATATTCGGTTTTTCTTTTGACTTTAGCCAGTTCGTCTACGAGCACTTCTGATTTATCTAGTGTGTATCAGATGTTTTTACCTGTAACAAAGCAGATTCACCCCTCTTCAGACAGTTTACCTTTCTCAAGATAGCTTTTTTTTCTATTTTGCATACTTAATATACCGAAGTATTTGGGGGAAGTTTACCTAAAGGCATAAACGCCACATTGGTGAACTGAATGCGCAGAAGGAGATGTCCAGAGTGGCCCAGGGTGCGGAGACCGACCACAAAACCCAGGCTCTGTCCTTCCTTGTCGCCCGGCTCTGCACTGCTGCCGGGCACAGCTCGGCCGCCAGGGGGCTCCGAGCGGGCGGGGGGCGGAGCCTAACCTGCCGTCCATTCCCGGCACCCTTCGCGGTTTCTGGGTCCTTCCCCCGCGCAGGTTACCGCGCAGGCGCAATAGGCATTCCTTAACCACCGCGCCCTTTGGGTGGGGTACCTGGGATTCTTTATCTTCCGGCGGCTCTGAGGGGAAGGCGAGCCTCGGTGAGTGTCTGGGCGGCGCGTCCTCCCACCTCCAGGGCCCCGTCCTGCCGGCACCGGCCTTGGCCGCGAGGCTGCCCTTCGGCGGCAGCTCCGCCGAGGACGCGCGTCGTCGCGCCCGGGCCGCGCTGGGCTCGGGCCTCCCGGGGCCGCTCAGCCCGCCGGGCGCTGGTCGCGGCGCGCGAAGCCGCGGCTGCCACGTTCCTCGTTGCTTCTGGGCGCCCTGCCTGCGCAGCCGAGGCGCAAGCGACCTCCTTCCCGACCTCCCCCGGTGTTTAGGGCTCCCCGTGGCCTGGAGACCCCCCTGGCTGCTGCTCCTAAGCCGGAGCTTTGTGATCGGGGTAACAAGGACGCTGCTCCTTCACCGAGACCTCGCACGAGTGTCCGTGAGCCCGTGGTTGGCTGGGAGCTCATTGAAAGTTCCCAAAACGCAGGGTCCTCAAGTCGGAAACCCGGATTTGGTGCACACTCTCTTAAAGCTTTCCAGACCTCCCCGGGGAAATTGCTACCGTCTAGCTCAAGTTGTTGCTTCCTACGGTCGCCTGTGAATTAAAGCGGTGCGGCAGTGAGCACCCCGACGTGGATGCTCCCGGGAGGTCACTCTCCCCGGGCTCTGTCCAGGTGGCATGGAGGAGCACAGGGCTCGGCGCCCCGTGATGTACAGGCCTTTTCCACAACGTCGGAGATCAAGCCGGCCTGGAGCCTGCGCCTGCATATTCCTACAGCTTCTCAGAGTCCCGTGGACAATGACTGAGGAGACAAACCATGCAGGACACAGCCCTCTGAGTCTAGGTTCTCTTCCATGATGAGTTAGACTTGCTTTCTTCTTTAATGTTTTTTGTAGAACGTTCAGTAATCTGAATGCCCGAGTTTAAGGTGAGTGTGCTCTGGCTCTTGTGGGATATCAGGATGCTTCAGTAAGTTCTCACCAGAGAGGGCTGTTGTCAGAATAGTGTGGGTGAGTTGACTGGAGTGCTCTGACTTCACAAGGGAGTAGGAAAATCAAACTCATCGGCCTAAGGCTGATTCCTGTGACATGAAGGTCAAGCATACCGTATATACTCGTGTATACACCTAGTTTTTTCCAGCATATTTTTAATGAAGGTTTTTTCTGGTAAAATGAGGTGCCTCGGCTGATATTTGGGTCGGCGTATACTCAAGTATATATGGTACCTCTACTCTTCAGCTTTTTCTAGCAATGTGGAAACCAACCATTTCAGCTTTTTCTAGCAATGTGGAAACCAACCATCCTTCCCGAATACTCTCTACACCCTGTTGCATTTGATAATTCTTCACAATGTCCACACACAACTCACAGATAATAGGGTCAAGATTATAATGATTATTAGGGAAGGTAACAAACTGCAGTTTGGGATCAGAAATGCTCATGACACTGACTTGGTCAGGACAGCCTCGGCTCAGCCATGCTTGTAGGTATACCTCCTCTGGTGCAGCCACACGACCCCTTAACCTCTGCCCTGCTCAGCCATGCTACAAAACTGTTGGTATTGCTGATTAAAAACCCAAGGGGCACACCACTCTGCCATAAACATCAGCCCAGAGGCACTCAACTTTAGTTTCCCAGATCATCAAATTTAGCTCCCCCAGTTAAGTGTCAGGAGGCCTCTTAGTTGAAGGTACTCAGTTTTGCTAGCCAGGTGGGCTTTGTGTCCAGTGTTCTGGCTCTTGATTCTGCTATTGCCACTTCTCTTCTGTCACAGCTCTGACTCCTAAGTCAAGGAGGCTCAAGAAGCAGCAGTCTGGGGTACAAAAGATCAGCTCCATCCCTGGCCTTTCTGAATGGTAGTAAACTATTCCCCACTTTCTAATTCTAAGGTGGGTCTTTTCATACCAACTTAATGGCAAAATTGACCAAACCCCAAGTTAGAGTTTTAAGTCTTTACAATCACAGTTAACATTAACAAATGAATCATATCAGCATCCTTCCTCACCTTCTTTTACCCATACTCATCAGGAAAAAGAAAAATACACCAATCTACTTGACCCCTCCCATTTTTTGGGTGGGAGTTAGAAAGACTATGCCTAGAAGAGCCATATCTGATAAGCCACGATACCACAACTATTAACCTTACATGGGAAGTTCTTACACACACTCTACATTGAGTCCTGTGATTCAGAACACTGTGCTTCTGCGTTACTTGATAAATGCAGGTTATAAGATTATTTTAATTCTATTGAGCATTGATTACTGTTTCTGAGTTTGATATAAGCCGGGTCATGTGTTTTATGATATTTTTGTAAGCATGTTGACAATTTCTTAGATGTATTTTCCTACTCTGTGATGAATGGTTTTTACTCAACTCGGTAAAACAGTGCTAAGATTTTCACCTCTGCATTCTCACCACCTGAGGGAGAGATGTATGGAGAATTTTTAAATGAGGAAATTTAGTAGATAAGCCATATAGAACAATGGCAATCATGCAATGTAGTTTTGGACTAGTTAAAACAATTACTAACCTCAGTGCACTTAACTTTTTTCACAGAACAATCTCAAGTCTACACCTGTACTCTGAGGTGAGTAAACTGAAAGTCCTTGGGAATGTTTTAAAGGGTGAGAGTGTTGTCTAGCAGTATTACCTTTGAATGAATTTGTTTGCAGTGACTAGTGTCATTCCAACGTGGATACTCCCGGGAGGTCACTCTCCCCGGGCTCTGTCCAGGTGGCATGGAGGAGCACAGGGCTCAGTGCCCCGTGATGTACAGTCCTTTCCCACAACGTTGGAGATCAAGCCGGGCCTGGAGCCTGCGCCTGCATATTCCTACAGCTTCTCAGAGTCCTGTGGACAATGACTGAGGAGACAAACCATGCAGGAAACATGTCTAATACGTGTTATATTTTTTTCATTGAAGAAGCTTTAGCAGGAGTTTAAACCTATATATATTTTTATGGCTTCATTTAGGAGAGGAATCTGTCTTACCTTTTGGACAGGACTTCCTCCTGCCCCCCGCCCTTTTTTTTATTTTTGCACA